CTCCACTATCAACACACCAGCATCAGGCTCCACTATCAACACACCAGCATCAGGCTCCACTATCAACACACACCAGCATCAGGCTCCATCCACTATCAACACACCAGCATCAGGCTCCACTATCAGTAACAACCAGCATCAGGCTCCACTATCAACACACCAGCATCAGGCTCCACTAACAACACACCATCATCAGGCTCCACTACCAACATCAGCATCAGGCTCCACTATCAACACACCAGCATCAGGCTCCACTATCAACACACCAGCATCAGGCTCCACTATCAACACAACAGCATCAGGCTCCACTATCAACACACCCCGCATCAGGCCACCACTATCAACACATCAGCATCAGGCAACACAGCATCAACAACATCAGCATCAATGACACACACTAACAATCACAACCACATCACAACAACAGCACATAAAACAACACAGCACTATCAACATCAGGCTCCACTATCAACACACCAGCATCAGGCTCCACTATCAACACACACAGCATCAGGCACACATCAACACACCAGCATCAGGCTCCACTATCAACACACCAGCATCAGGCTCCACTATCAACAACACACCAGCATCAGGATCCACTATCAACACACCAGCATCAGGCTCCACTATCAACACACAGCATCAGGCTCCACTATCAACACACCAGCATCAGGCTCCACTATCAACACACCAGCATCAGGCTCCACTATCAACACACCAGCATCAGGCTCCACTATCAACACACCAGCATCAGGCTCCACTATCAACACAACCAGCATCAGGCTCCACTATCAACACACCAGCATCAGGCTCCACTATCAACACACACAGCATCAGGCTCCACTATCAACACACCAGCATCAGGCTCCACTATCAACACACCAGCATCAGGCTCCACTATCAACACACCAGCATCAGGCTCCACTATCAACACACCAGCATCAGGCTCCACTATCAACACACCAGCATCAGGCTCCACTATCAACACACCAGCATCAGGCTCCACTATCAACACACCAGCATCAGGCTCCACTATCAACACACCAGCATCAGGCTCCACTATCAACACACCAGCATCAGGCTCCACTATCAACACAACAGCATCAGGCTCCACTATCAACACACCAGCATCAGGCTCCACTATCAACACACCAGCATCAGGCTCCACTATCAACACACCAGCATCAGGCTCCACTATCAACACACAATCAGCATCAGGCTCCACTATCAACACACCAGCATCAGGCTCCACTATCAACACAACCAGCATCAGGCTCCACTATCAACACACAACAGCATCAGGCTCCACTCCACTATCCACTATCACACACCAGCATCAGGCTCCACTATCAACACACAGCATCAGGCTCAGCATCAGGCTCCACTATCAACACACCAGCATCAGGCTCCACTATCAACACACCAGCATCAGGCTCCACTATCAACACACCAGCATCAGGCTCCACTATCAACACACCAGCATCAGGCTCCACTATCAACACACCAGCATCAGGCTCCACTATCAACACAAGCATCAGCACTCAGGCTCCACTATCAACACACCAGCATCAGGCTCCACTATCAACACACCAGCATCAGGCTCCACTATCAACACACATCAGGCTCCACTATCAACACACTCATCACTCCACTATCAACACACCAGCATCAGGCTCCACTATCAACACACCAGCATCAGGCTCCACTATCAACACACAGCATCAGGCTCCACTCAGCATCAGGCTCCACTATCAACACACACAGCATCAGGCTCCACTATCAACACACCAGCATCAGGCTCCACTATCAACACAACAGCATCAGGCTCCACTATCAACACACCAGCATCAGGCTCCACTATCAACACACCAGCATCAGGCTCCACTATCAACACAACAGCATCAGGCTCCACTATCAACACACCAGCATCAGGCTCCACTATCAACACACCAGCATCAGGCTCCACTATCAACACACCAGCATCAGGCTCCACTATCAACACAACAGCATCAGGCTCCACTATCAACACACCAGCATCAGGCTCCACTATCAACACACCAGCATCAGGCTCCACTATCAACACACCAGCACTAATACCAGCATAAGAATATGAACAGAGTCAGTATCAACAGCATCACCAACAACAGCTACACAGTACTAACAACATTACCATCACAGCATCATGTGTGAGGAAAGTCACGAAAACAACTTCTAAAAGTAAATTAGTGATAGAACACCAGTACAAAAGAATATCCAGTCTTGACTATATTCAGAAACAATTCCATGTAGTGTGAAGGAGAAAATGAATGAAAACTGAATATATATAAATGGATTATTGTAAATCAATGAAGACAGCAGGTACTCGCGAAAACTGAAACAATGGCATGCAAAGGTGGACATAGGGACAATATGATAAGAATATGAAACGATTATATACCAAAGATTGATGACATGGGCAATTGTCAATACACAAATGCCATAACCTTACTGATAGAACGAGTTATATATGAACCATCCACCGGCATTGTCGCGTCATCCAGTCTGGCTCAATAAACTCCGTATTCATGTGCGTACACGTGACCCGAGTCTATTTGCATATACGCAGGATGCATAGTCAATGAGCTGTGTTGTGTAAACTGCTTGGACTACTTTATAAGCGACGTCATTCACGTGCACCTAGTCCTACCTGGCACTCAGCCTTGTGCGCAGAGCTGTCGACTGCCGTCAAAATGGTTGTAGCTATTTTCAACTGGGTGGACATTTTAGTCCTAGTTCTATATTTCCTGTTTGTGCTTGCAGTGAGTTTGATGGTAAGTGTGTTTATAATTTATAATTCTCTCTCTCTCTCTCTCTCTCTCTCTCTCTCTCTCTCTCTCTCTCTCTCTCTCTCTCTCCCTGTCACACACACGCAAGCAAACACGCACGCACGCAAGCACACGCGCACACACACGCGCTCTAGCAAGCATACATATAAACACTTACATACACAAGAAAGCACACAGGGAGTCGAAATGTTTTTCATCATGTCTAGAACCTGTCAGTCTATTTTAAATCTGAATGTCAAAGCTGCAAACTTCAAACTTTCGTGGCTGTCACCAAATATAAAATACTGCTTAAGATATACTATGAAAACAGATTTGACCTATTTGTTGCACGTCTCTGGTGTAAGGTGTCTGTGTATGGCCACTGTATATTCGGAGTAAAGGGTCTTTCGATGTCCATTTACTGACGTAGTCCAGTCGATAGAGTGTCAGCCAGGAAAGCGGAAGATCTGTGTTCGATCCCTCGCTGACTCATGCCAAAAATGTTCAAATGTGGTATTTGTCGCTGTCCTGCCTGGTGCTGGGTGGTTCAAGAAGTGGTTATGTGGGGTCAGTACGATGAATCTGGCTGCCATATTGAACTGGTACATGGTGGACTCGGGTCATCATAGCGGCAATAACGAGTCCGCTCTGTACCAACTAGTCCGTCGGTTTATGAACTTAAACAGATAAAATAAACTGGAGAGTTAAATGTGTATACGGCTGCTATCAGAGTAACGGGGTCTAGTTGTTGATGGAGACCACGAACCACAGGGTACGGTCTAGCAACATTCAGGGAATTGTACCCAACCTGTAGATACAGTCTGTCTACAAAATGCCAGACAAACACAAGGTACTGAGGGCAATAGATATAACTAAATTCGGACTGTTCACTGTAAATTGGGCAATTTTACTGGTTGAAATAGTCGATTTCTTTTACTTTCATTCACAGGTGATAGGTCGTGATATAACTGAGATACACTGAGGAACTGGGCAGCATAAGCCCCACTCACTCACTCACTCACCCACTCGCTCGCTCACTGTCGTTCAAAGATTTCCGGGTGCATGCACTGTTATTACACTTGGTGTATATATATCAGGTGTCATTGATAAAGGGTCGAATCTGCTTTCATCTGTGAAGAGCTCACGAGACCACTGACGTTCATTCCAGCGGCCATGACGTCTACTCCAACTCAAACGCGCCTTCCTGTGACGTGGCCTTAGTGGTGGACGAACTGCAGGTCAACTAGAGCGGAGTCCTGCTGCCCTTAAACGTCGACGAACGGTGCTCCTGGATATCCTTACATTGTTAACATTGAAGTGTTCTGCTGCGTTAAGGAATCTGTTACGTAACGCAGTGTTAATCACGTGCCTATCATCTCGGACTGTTATGACTCTGGGGCGACCAGGGTGCCGTTGTACAAAGCGATCTTACTGCTAGATGACCGTAACTCCCAAACCTTAACACAGACTTAAGGTAGTCTTAGTGCTAAGGTTGTCTTTAACAACGGCACCCTGGTCGATGCACATATTCCATGAACCCATTGGCTTGAAATCTCTGATTCACATTAAAGCGGACAGCAACCGGAGTTTACCAGATTCCAAAAGGCCTATGACCTGACCCCTTTAAGCAAGTATCAAAAAATGTCTCATTTTAAGTGGAGATTTCAAACAGGCACCTGAACAATGAACGACAGTGAAAAAGCAGCAATGCATGTGTATTGTCCTCCACTTTCCATGGATAGAGCGACTTACACGTGCAAATCATTGACATTAAGTGGCAGGTGGATTTCCATATTGACAATTTGAATAAAAAATGTGCCATTTGTAACAGAATGTATCGGCCATTAAAGAACGTAATAATGACATTTCAACGGCCTGATGTGTTTTTCCATACTGTTAAGAAAGTTTGTAAAACATTCAGTTGTTTATATTTCAAACAAAAACGAGAATTTTACAACTTTTAAGAAATAGTGTTACGAATAGCTTGACCCTTCATTAATGACGCCGAGCATATAGCATATATCATTATATTTTGTCTATATGGAATGAAACCTGAGGTAAGGTGTTATACTACAAAGGTTCATGAGATCTTCCATCCTTTCAGCAGTTTGAAGAGTGAATAAAGTCATTAATAATGTCAATCCTGGCATTACCTTGCGCTAATTCTTTACAGTCCCTGTATTCCTCTTTCAGTCAATGTGCCGCAAGAACAGAGAGAGCGTGAAGGGATACTTTCTGGCGGGAAGAACTATGGTGTGGTTTCCGGTAAGTAGTATAAACAAGATGACGTTCTACACACGCATGACGTTCTACTCATAAATGATGACGTTTTACCCATATATGATTACGTACTTTGTGTACTTTAAAGACACTGTCAAGTATATGATCACAGGTTATGTATGTTGACATATAAACACACAATATACATGTTTCACTGAAACCATTCATATTGTTTTGCGCGTTTTATGGCATTACCAAAGTTTTTTATAATATACTATTCAAAAGAAGTTAAAGGTTATTTTCATACGCAGATAGTTTCGGGTAAAAAAAGTATACCCCCCGTAAATTCATTTTAGCCAATTATACCCCCCGTAAATTCATTTTAGCCAATTATATGAATGGTGTTCATTGAGTCTTTTTAGCGTTTGATAGGGTAAAAAAAGTTTGGTGCGTGTTGTGTGCGTGTGTACGTGTGCTGCTGGGAATGCTATGATGACATATGTCAAATTTACCAGTCACCCGGAAAGCAGGTTTAACCGTATTAATTAATTTTGACATTCAGATTATCTTCACGAGTAAATGAGCCATAGAAGTGCTATTGATTCTGATTTGCTTATTAAATAAATGTGCATCGTATCCATATTTGACTTAATGCACTTACATATATTCTAAACATGTTAAATTCTAAAACTTCAAACGTGCTAAATTTGTATGCATGTCCAGATTTAAGTGAGTATTTGACATCATCCACTTGACATGGGCTTCACACATTATTACCCCCTTTGGGATTCCAAACATTAACCATGGGCTGTTTGTATTCAAATATGGCGATCACGACTGTGTGTGGTGTATAATTGGACACCGTTCCATATATGAGCATTTGCTGTGAATCATTTTGCGATGTGTTCAATTTATTGCTGCATTTGGTGTGCAAACTACAATCCAATTCGAGTGACTTTTTCATCTATCATCAAAAAAATATATAATTATATCATATCCCATTAGGATACCTGTATCATATCCAATGTCCTATTTATAAACCTCTCAAGTACTGTCAGTCCCCATGGACCCTAGTATGGTGATCTACCATCAGTTGTTGGTGATCTATAGCCCGTTTTTATTTTGTACTGTCTATAGTGATTTAATTTTATGATAGCGTACGAGTTTTAACTTAAGAGCTGCGATATTCTAGTATATTTACTGTCCTTCCATGACAGCTTTTTACGTTCTAAATTTATTGATTTTAATATTTATATCAATGAAATTATTCTCGTCACGCTATGGCTGAAATATTGCCGATGTGACGCTAAATATTAACTCACTTACTCACTCACTATACCTCTAAGGGAGCGGTCAGTAAGAAGACTGGATGAGATGGTTTAACGCCACCATGGACGGCATGCCAGCTGCATCACGTCGTGTCAGGGTGAGGGAAGTCCGAAATGATGCATATCTCACACATTGTGGTGAAACTCACAACTCTATGGTGCTGATAGACATGACAGTATCCTGGGCAGCCGGGGTTCGAGTCCACGATAACAGATTCCTGGCGTACTTTACTGAGGAAGTGTAATGCCAGATATAACATATTTGATCATTTTCAAAATGGCATTGTGTATTCATACGTTACTCATTGCACTGAACGATCCATGCATCAAGTTGCACAGCTGTGTGTATAAGCAATAGTGCACGACATGGCCATGTTCCAGTCTGTTTAGTAGCGGATGCAGTTCTGATACAGTCATGTCCAAAAGCATCACGGAACCTACATACACACGCACATATACACGTTCAAAAGCATAACTGGCATTTCTATAGACATGTATTTTATTATAAATATCAACGTTATATTTTAATTGATTGTTGACCATCAATATTTGGAAACAGATTGGAGCTTCACTGTTTGCGAGCAACATTGGCAGTGAGCACTTCGTGGGCCTGGCAGGAAGCGGAGCGGCCTCTGGCATAGCTGTCGTCGCCTTTGAGTGGGGTGTAAGTATTGCCTAAAGCCAGGATTTATGATTTATTGTGTACAGATGTGAATAATTGTTCTTATTCTAATTCCAACCAGCTAAATCCAAGCTAGGTGGCTGGAGTGAGTGAGTGAGTGACTTTGGTGCAACGCCACTTGGAACAGTATGTCAGTTATGTAACAGCGTGGATGTGGAAGTGAGTGAGTGAGTTTGGTGAAACGCCAATTGAACAGTATTTCAGCTTTACTGCATTGTGTATGTGGGATTGAGTTAGTGAGTTTGGTACAACGCCACTTGGAACAGTATTTCAGTTATATAACAGCGTGGATGTGGAAGTGAGTGAGTGAGTGAGTTTGGTGAAACTCCTCTTGGAACAGTATTTCAGCTGTATAACAGCGTGCAAGCCAGAATGAGGGTCTTCCAAACCATGATCACGTGTGCCTGTCGCCTCTAAGGGGGACAACTCTCCACAGCTACACAGCGCCTTAGATAACTGAGCCACCCGATACATTTATCCTTACACGGTGCACTCTATCTAAACCAAATGGTTAGATACGAATATGAACAATGTTTTGCCGAATGTAATATGCTGCATGTAACATTACTTATAAATCTTCTTTTCTTTGCAATGTATTACATTCACACCAAATAGAATTTGTGTCTGATGATAGTCAAGATTGACGCTTAAAATTTCTACCCTTATTGACTTCTATAAGTTGTTTTTCGTGATGTTCTGTTCCCTGTCATTCATTTGACTGTGTTAAAGTTTCAAAATTGTAATTTCATGTAGTGTGTGTGTCGCTGATTGACATTCTATAAATTATGGATGCGCATTCGTTAAAATATATCCTGACCTTATCCTATATTCCAGCAGCATGTGAAGGTCTCTCCTTGACACGCTGTTTACTGTTGTGATTTCAGGCTGTGTTGCTTCTCCTGCTCCTGGGATGGGTCTTCTTACCGATCTATCTCTCTACCGGGGTAAGCAAATACACTCCCATCAATATTCATGTTCTATGTCATATTTTAGTCTGAAGGTGTTTGTTTATAGCTTGGTGTTTGGCAAGGCAAATTGTTTCTAATGTAAACACGTGGCAAATATCAACAACCCTCAAACCGTCAGCTCCTAGTGGACGTTTAGTTTGGTTGTGTTATATGTTGAGTTATTTACCATTTGCTTCGACACCCGTGAATATCTTCAGCAACCAACGTCTTGTCGGAGAAAGCAACTGTGTCCGGGGATCAAGCTCACGGATCGCATCCCAATTGCGTAGATCGATGGTGATGACGTCAATCACTGGATTGTTTGGTCAAGACTCGGTTATTTACAAACCGCCGGAATAATATGTAGTGCCAGAGAACAAATAATCAAAGAAATGTATGCCAAATAAGTTAAGCAATTGTAATCATGAGGCTATTTACTTCACACTCTGGGAGGAACAAGGGGCGCAATTGTCTGACTTGTTATTGTCTCTCTGTACGTGGCTACATGTGGTGTCTCCAACATTAAGCTGACTTGCCGACATATAACTGAAGCAATGTTGATCATCGGAAACCCAAATTACTCACTCACTTAACACAGCTAAGGGCCGATCATGTCATGTTCGTTGTGGGACATGCATTTTGTGACTGTTTTCTCTTTTCCGAACAATAAATTGTATATCGCTGAGTTCTATAACGATCGGTCAGAAGAACCCAAGTTGCACAACGCGTTGCTATTTTCGTATTGCTCAAATTGCAAAAGGTCACGATGTTCAGTTGTAACATCCCTGGGTACTGGCGCCATGTTGTATCAATGTTCAAATCCAATGACTTCTGTTTGCCAATGACCAATACCAACGATGTTATGACGTCAAGGAAGAAGCATTCGTCTGTTGCTCGGGTCACTGGAGTGAGTGAGTGAGTTTAGTTTTTACGCTGTTTTTAAGCAATATTACAGCAATATCACGCCGGGGGACACCAGAAATGGGTTTCACACATTGTACCCATGTGGTGAATCGAACCCGGGTCTTTGGCGTGACGAGCGAACGCTTTAACCACTAGGCTACCCCACTGCCCCACGGGTCACTGGAAGAAATGTCTACCAGTACTTGTCTTACTTGTAAATTTTGGTAAATATTGTCTTTTACAAACATAAACACGTGTTATATTCTCTAAATATACATATCTGTAAATATTTTGAATTTAGGTCGAAACAACCATGTCAGCTGTTTTAATGTTATGATTCTGCACATATTTTGCGTACGTGTACGAACACCCACCATTCAATAAGCTGAACGTATACACATCATTATTCACGTGAACGCAAACATACAATTCAGCGAGTGAACGAAGACACACCATTTATCAACCGAGGGAAGTTACACCATTCAGAAACTAAACGCAGACACAACATTCATCACGTGACGTAGACACACCGTCCACATCTTAACGTAGAAACACCATTTATAATGCAACGTTGACACACCATTCATTACGTAACGTAGACACGCCAATCATCACCTAACGCAGACGGTTAAGTCCCTATTCGCGTACATCTCAATTCGCCTTCAACCCTTTCGCATACAAAAATAATGTAGGTTGATTGGGATTAGAAAATGCACCCCAAGACTGTTATAATGACTCCTTGACGCTGTGGGCCATCTCCTCAAATTGGGATAGAGACTTGTTTAAAAGACAAAAATTAACATTAAAAGTTAAAATGACCTACTGCTCATATTCATGTCACGACCAGGAAGATATCTGTGTATTATATTATGTAATTAAATCCATAAATTAAAACATTAAATCTTGTGTTCATGTGTTTGGGCTAGTCCATTGTCCAGGTAACAGGTAACAGGAAGGGGATTAGCAGTGCATTGGACCGTGAAATTTGTTGTTATAAGCTGTAGGAGTAATGGGATGTAGGGGTAATGGGAGGATACCAATGACCCTGACTCACTGGTTAGGGCCATACTAATCTTGATCAACTGTTGTTATAAGGATATGTAGTTGAGTAGAGAGGATTAGTGCATCCACTGAAGTTACAACTGGGTCATAATGAAATGAAACGGATTAATGCATAAATTGCTAAATTGTAACTGAAGAAGAGACCAGACTCCTCACTAGACTGTTGTTTGGAGACAAATTTCTGAGAAAGGCAAAGGCAACGCCTTCAAGAACAATCCAGCTTTCTACTCCCATGTGCAACTTGCTGCTTCTCTTCCACTCCTCCCCGTGGATCAGGTCCATGATGTGTGGATGGATACCTTGGCCGCGTCTCCAGATTGCTGCCTTCAACGACTACATAATACAAGACCCAGAACCAATCATCAATGGGGGGCTGTCACAACGGCTTCAAGAAACTCGTCAGAAAACATCACCCGAACATATATGAAGTCGTCATCGCCATTAAGAAATTGGAAACGAACAGGATCTATCGAAACCTGGAGAGTCGCTTGGATAGACTTCGCAGGCAACTAGGTTCTGGAAGATCACCAGTTCAGTTCCTCGACGCGGCTGGCCACCTTATCAAGTTGAAGTGAGAATGGACGTCTCCACAAGTGAACTTTCTCAATACTGATGTGATATAATGTGATGATATGAGGTGATATATGATAAATAGGTTATCATTTCATTGTGATCAGAAATGATATGATTTGATGATATGATGTGATATATGATAAATAGATTATCATTTCATTGTGATCAGAAATGATATGATGTGATGATAAGATGTGATGTATGATAAATAAATTATCATTTCATTGTGATCAGAAAATGACAAGTGACAGAAATAAATAAATTCTTTAAAAAAATTCTTCAACTTCTTCAACTATAAGAGTCAACTGTTAGATCATAGGGCTGACATTAGTTTATCATTAGGTAATGAACAGTCAACAGACCATCAAATATTGTTTTCAGACAGTAGGCGAATTGGGATGTAGGCGAAAAGAGAACACCATTCATCACGTAACGCAGACACACCATTCATCACTAAAGTAGACTCGCCATTCACCACGTAACGTAGATACACCATTCATCACGTAACACAGACACGCCTTTCATCACGTTACGTACCTACACCATTCATCACGTAACGTAGACACACGATTCATCACGTAACGCAGACACACCATTCATCATGTAACGCAGACACACCATTCATCACGTAACGCAGACACACCATTCATCACGTAACGCAGACACACCATTCATAATGTAACGCAGACACACCATTCATCATGTAACGCAGCTACACCATTCATCATGTAACACAGACACACCATTCATCACGTAACGTAGCTACACCATTCTCCAAGTAACGCAGACACACCATTCATCATGTAACGCAGACACACCATTCATCATGTAACGCAGACACACCATTCATCATGTCATGCAGACACGCCTTTCATCATGTAACACAGACACACCATTCATCATGTAACACAGACACACCATTCATCATGTAACGCAGACACACCATTCATCATGTAACGCAGACACACCATTCATCATGTAACGCAGACACACCATTCATCATGTAACGCAGACACACCATTCATCACGTAACGCAGACACGCCTTTCATCACGTTACGTAGATACACCATTCATCACGTAACGTAGACACACGATTCATCACGTAACGCAGACACACCATTCATCATGTCACGCAAACACACCATTCATCACGTAACGCAGACACACCATTCATCATGTAATGCAGACACACCATTCATCACGTAACACAGACACACCATTCATCATGTAACGCAGACACACCATTCATCATGTAACGCAGACACACCATTCATCATCTAATGCAGACACACCATTCATCATGTAACGCAGACACACCATTCATCATGTAACGCAGACACACCATTCATCATTCATCATGTAACGCAGACACACCATTCATCATGTGTAACGCTGACACACCATTCATCATGTAATGCAGACACACCATTCATCATGTAACGCAGACACACCATTCATCATGTAACGCAGACATTCATCATTCATCATTCATAACGCAGACACACCATTCATCATGTAACGCAGACACACCATTCATCATGTAATGCAGACACACCATTCATCAAGTAACACAGACACACCATTCATCATGTAACGCATACACACCATTCATCACGTAAAACAGACACACCATTCATCATGTAACGCAGACACACCATTCTTCAAGTAACGCAGACACACCATTCATCATGTAACGCAGACACACCATTCATCACGTTACGTAGCTACACCATTCATCACGTAACGCAGACACACCATTCACCACGTTATGCAGATACACCATTCATCACGTAAAACACCATTCATCACGTAACGCAGACACACCATTCATCACGTAACGCAGACACACCATTCTTCAAGTAACGCAGACACACCATTCATCACGTAACGCGGACACGCCTTTCATCACGTTACGTAGCTACACCATTCATCACGTAACGTAGACACAACATTCATCACGTAACGCGGACTCGCCATTCATCATGTAATGCAGACACACCATTCATCACGTTACGTAGCTACACCATTCTTCAAGTAACGCAGACACACCATTCATCATGTAATGCAGACACACCATTCATCACGTAAAACAGACACACCATTCATCACGTAACGTAAATACACCATTCATCACGTAACACAGACACGCCTTTCATCACGTTACATAGCTACACCATTCATCACGTAACGCAGACACACCTTTCTTCAAGTTGCGCAGACACACCATTCATCACGTAACACAGACACACCATTCATCACGTAACGCAGACACACACTTCTTCAAGTAACGCAGACACACCATTCATCACGTAACGCAGACACAGCATTCACGTAACGTAGACACGCCATTCATCACGTAACGTAGACACACCATGGACCACGTAACGTAGCACAATAAAAGCGGCGCTAGCCACCCACATACAACTACGCGTGATAAAAATCCACTACACCTCACTGC